GTTTATAAAATTTATAATTTTTAATTTGATGTTTCCATTTTTTGGTAGGTATTCTTTTCTATTTGTTTGTAATTTTGTATTTTCTTTTGTGCTTTATATATAAATAAATGAAAAATATATATATATTTCATTTATTTTAATTAATTATAAATTTAAAAAATAATAATATAAAATTACGTCCACTGGGCATGACTTACTGACACGTCCTAGTGAAAGAGTATGCGCCTGTTGCACGTTGTGTAATTAAAAAGGGAGCTCCCCGATTAACAGGTTAATTCAGCCTTTGGTCCTCACATGGGGCTGCATGTTCTCTGTGCACCACAAGAGTGCATCAAAGAGGCAGCTTTGATCAGGAATTCAGCATTTCGTCTCCAAGCTATACTGAGCAATTCAGCCTCAGGAATCCATAGACTCTTATTTATGCTCACATCATTGCCTAGGTCTCTATCTTTCCATCAGTTGGAACATTTATATATATATTATATATTATATATATATATAATATATATATGTGTGTGTGTGTGTATATATATATGTCTAGTAATAATTAATGTCGTTTTCTAATACCTTTTTTAAATCGAATTTATTTAAACAATACAACAAAATTTAATCAGCAATATAGTTGCCGTTGTTTTCAACTACTTGTGCCCAACGCTCAGGAAGCATTTTAATCCCTCTGTTGTAAAATTCTTGTGATTTTGATGCAAAAAATTCGGTCAATGCATTTTTGAGGCATTCTTCATTATTAAATTTTTTTCCAAGAAGAAAGTTTTGCAAAGAACAAAACAAATGGTAATCGGAAGGGGCAATATCAGGAGAATATGCAGGTTGAGGGAGAACTTCCATTCCAACTGGTGCAGTTTTTCAGCAGTGATTCTTGCAGTATGCAGTCGTGCGTTATCGTGGTGAAGAATTACGCCCTTCCGATTAATCAGCGCAGGTTCTTTTTCTCTTAAAGCTTGGGCTAACCTTTCCAATTGGGCACTATACACTGCACTTGTAATGGTTTGGTTAGATGGTAAAAGTTCATAATGAAGAATTCCTTTAAAATTCCACCAAACACACAACATCACTTTTTTCGCATGCAAGTCAGGTTTTGGCGTGGGCTGCGGAGCCTCATTTTTGTCCAACCATTGAGGCAGCCTTTTCAAATTAACATACAGCACCCATTTTTCATCTCCGGTAACAATTTGCTCTAAAAACGGCAAACGGTTTTGACGAGAGAGGAGCGAACTGCAAATTGTGACTCTTTGATTACGGTTGCTGTTGGTCAACTCATGAGGAACCCATTTTCCAAACTTTTGGACTTTGCCAAGTGCACGCAATTGATTGGAAATTGTTTTTTTGTGAACAATTTAAAGTTGTCGCAAGCTCTTGTTGGGTAATTTGAGGATTTTGCACCAAAAGAGCTTGAAGAGCTTCTTGATCAAAATTGGACACACGGCCTCGACCACTCTTGTCATCTAACGAAAAATTTCCCTCGCGAAATTTCTCAAACCAACGCTGGCATTTTCTGGCGCTAACTGCATCTTGACCAAGAGCACTACAGATGTTTTTTGCAGCCTCACTTGCTTTTCTTCCTAATTGGAACTCGTAAAGCATGCAGTGCCGAATATGCTCTTCATCGGCCATCTTCTTAGCCCTAGTTTTGCAACAAAAACCAAACCAAACACAAACTTTTTCAAGCAAAACTTGTTAATTGCACTTCACACGTTCTGTAGATACCACGTGTTTGAAGGTTATGTCAATACAAATCAACGCCAAGCAAGATTTTAAACGAATGTTTAAAAACGACATTAATTACTAGACCTGATATATATGTATGTATGTCTAGGCAGAAATAGTGTACTACACATTGGTGTTGTAAACCAGCTATGTGTCAGTAGCCAAGCAAGGTCGTGTTTTGTGAGGACATGGAAGACGCCTCTGCCATGTGACACCTTTGAACACGCCAGGCCTCCCTTTCACTGCAGAGCAGCTCTGCAGGGAGCTTCTGGGCCTGAACTTCTGGAGCGGCGGGGCCACCGACAGACCCAGGGCACCGTCACCACGCTGCCCAGGCCTGCGCATTCCTACATTTGGAGCTGATCCCAATGGGGCAGGAATGTGGGGGTGTCTGCATTCTTAGTCTCTGTTTTGACAGCCTGCCCCCAGCATCAACAGCCTCTTCGATTTGAGGACCCCCTACCTGAGGGGCAGAGCTCTGCCCCACTCTGGGGCAAAGACACTAGCTGCTCGCCTTCCCAGCTTCCCTTGCAGCTGGAAGAAGGCACAGGACTCTGCAGAGCCAATTAAATGTAAGCTGGAAGCTAGTGCCCACGAGCAAGTGGCGGTAACTACTCAGGGCCACTCCAGACACTGAGCAGTGCCCAGGCACTGGGGACACACACGAGCGTTGAGGGCGTGGTATGTCAAGTCAAGTTGGTGAATAAGAGACAGTCATTGAGCAAACGAATAAACGGGAGTGCTTGATTTTCAGCAACTTCCCAGTGGTGCTGTCTACAGGGATGTTTTGTTGTTGTTTAGATGGCAGGTATTAGAAACCGCTGGATGCTTACAGCAATTAAAGCGATGGTGGGATGAGGGGTAACTGCAAAGGGAAGGTCTGGAAGCGCTTCTGGAACTGGGACCCACACAGGAGTTTGGGTTGACAGAGGTGCAGCTGGGGTGTACGTAGCTTGGATAGAAAGATGCTCTTGTTTATTTTAACTTACTGGTCAGTTTGTCACAACATAGAAGACTTGTGAATGAGCTTGCTCGAGTTAACTTTGTTTTATAGCGATGATAGAGCATTACTGCCTACTTTTTTTTTTTTTCATTTCTCACCAGAGGATATTTTTCCCATTGATTTTTACAGAGTTGAAGGGAGGGGTGGGGCAGAGAGATAGAGACACTAATGTGCCAGAGACACATAAATTGGTTGTCTCCCACATGTGCCCTGATGGCCGGGGAGTGAACCTGCAACCCTGGTATGTGCCCTTGACTGGGAATCAAACCGGAGACCCTGTGGTGCATGGGTTGATGCTCTAACCACACAGTCAGACCTGTGAGTGGCTTTGGGAGAGGATGATGGTGACTCAGTGCCCCCATTTTCCAGAGCAGGGACTTCAGGCTTCTGCATAGTTCTGCAAAGAGCTCTGTCCTGCCCAGCTCCCCATGCTCTCCCCTGCCTTGCTTACCTTCCAAGAGGATGCAATGCTTCAGAGAAAAAGGAGCCAGATGAGGGGAGACCATTTGGCCACATTCTGAGCGTTTTGTAGAGGCTCGCCCCTGCTCCCTTCCTGCTCCCCTTCCCATGCAGCTCACAAAGTGGTGCCAGGTGCCCATGCACAGTAACCAGCAGCCAGCCCTACAACCCCATCTCCTTCAGGGGCAGTGCAGCCATGTGGGCAGTGAACCAAGAACGTCTCCTTGCAGTGGGTGGCCACATTCCACCAACACGCCCACTGGAGCCGAGCTCAGGGGGCAAAGGGAAGCATGTTGAAGTTGCAACAGAGAAAGTTCTGTTACCTGAGGGCGTCTGTGTCCCCATCCACTTCCCCGCGGAAGCCGTCCCTGTTTCAGCATCATGGCTGCAGCCAAGCCCCACCGCACAAGGCTCCCCCAGCCCCAGCCTCCACCCGGGCGCTGCCCTGAGCTTTGCCTGCCGCCCCCGTGCTCACTACAAACTTCCCACTCCGCGGGAATGGGCTTGGTCAACGGGCTGAGGCTAAAGAGGAAAAGAAAGCGGGCTGCACCCGACAGCTCCGGGCCCAGACAGGGAGGGCCCAGCCCAAGTTGCTCCCACGTAGGGTCGAGTTGCACGTAGAGGAGTGACACGGGGACCGCTTGGTGACTCTGTCCCGGGTACACCTGCCTTCCAGAGGGCAGGCACCCATTAACCAGCAGAGGACGCCATGGCTTCCAGGGCTAAAGCACATGGATGGCACCATCGGGGCAGCTGGCAGTGAGCTCCGCAAAGGATCCAGCGTCCCCGCGCCCCAACTTCTGCAAACTACCCCCGTTCACCGCGGGACCCACGGTCCCGCAAACCCCCAGGACAAGAGGACACCCCCCTCGTTGATGTGGACAGCTCGCGGAAATGCCGCTGTGGATGGAACACCCCCAAACAGCCCGAGAACAGCACCCTCCAAGCCCCGGTCCTGTCCACGGCGCGGCCAGCAGCGGCCCAGGGCAGGCACTCGAGTCCACTCATCGGGGTGTCGTGGGCCCCAGTGGGCCAACCGGACGAAGAAAGCACAGCTACCACGTCCTCTCACATCAAAATAGAGCCATTTATTCAAGACCCTGACCAGGGCCTGTTGATTCTATCAAAGCAAATGGGCTACTAAGTGCAAGGTGGTTCTTGTCCCAGGATTGAGGGTGTGCAGGCGGGTGACACACGTGGACGTGGGCAGACGGGCTGACAGGCGCTGGCGGGAACCACGTGCGGCTGGTGCATCTGACAGACGATACACACCCAGGAGCCAGAGCCCAAAACCCCGGGGGGGCAGAGGAACGCCTCTGCGTTTGACAAGAAACACGGTTTGGGGGGAAAAAAAAAAAGGGTGGAACAGGTTTAAAAAGAGGAACATAACCAGAGCGAAGTAGGCCTTACGTGGGACAAAGTGCGCCTCGCCCGCCCCTGGCAGATCTCAGGGCAGAAGGAATCCCGCCCCAGGCGTGCGGCCCACGGCCCTGCCACCTTCCCGGTGCGGGGCCAGCCCTGGTCCCCGCTCACATCAAGGCCACGTTTGGTCACCAACATGTGGGCGTTACTTTAAGAGCTGTGACAGGGCAATCATGGGGCACGGCCCTGGGCATGCCGCTCTGCAGACTCCCAGGTTTCTGTTGCAGGGTGGGGGTGTCAGGTGGTGTCTGCACCTCCGCACACTGCGACCCAAACCTAATGGTTTCTCAGGGCAGACATGGCCAACGTGGCCCGGGTGCCGGCTGCCTTCACAGAGGAGGGGCGACTTCCTAGACGTTGCGCTTGGCGCAGTGCCAAGCAACAACCCAAATTACACACCAACTCGGAAACAGCACGTTGGGGGCGCCTCTGGCTCAGACTCAGGGAAGTCACGGATCCACGGAGCCTGGTGATGTCGTCGCAGGTCCGGCACAGTCCAGGTCTCTCCTGTCGCGCTCACCTGCCTGCCTGGCACCGGCCTGAACAGCATTTTGCCTGGCAGCCGGGACGCAGCGGCTGCACCTGCCTGGCCGCCTTCCTGTCCCTGCTCTGCCCGGGAAAGTGACGGCCCTTCTCCCACGGCTCCTTTCAAAGCCAGGTCAGCATGGGGCTGACACACAAAGGCCACCTCATCCAATGAAAGGAAACTCCCATAGAAACACAAACACCTGTTTAATTTTTTAAAAACAGTAAAAAGGTTCATTATTAAAAAAAAAGAAAATCTAGTCTCTTGGCAGAGAAAAAAGAGGAGACGGTGGGGGGGATGGGTGACACTCTGCCCTCAGTTCACCATGTGGCTGTAAGGGCCTTCCTTCCCGTTTACGTCTGTCCCTGCCGGCCAGGGGTCAGCCGTGCCAGACCCGCCCAGCAGCTCCGGACAAAGGCCGACCGTGAACGAGGCGCCACTAACAGGCCACACAGCCGAGCCGCCTGCTTCTACGGCTCCCGCAATGCCGGTTGGTTTGGGACAGGATCCTTGCGGTCACAGTCACCCTTCTTCAGTTCCCTCCCAGGGCTACAGAGGGGACTTCCAGGGAGATCCCACTTTGTCCCCCAGCCAAGAGTGGGACTTCTCCCTCCACGGAGGAAATCCCACTGCCCCCGCTCCTATCCCCTCACACCCCTCTTACCGCCCCCCCCCCACCTGCTACACAGCCCCAGGCAAGGGGAATGCTCCCTAGAATCTTTTAAAATAGGAAACCACACAAAGCTCTGCCTGATGACTTTTTAGGATTTTAAAATTGTTTTAACATAAAAATATTTCACCCCCCAAAAAAATACTCCGGGCTCTTTTTAAGTCCTATTTTCCCCTCCTGTAAAAAGTCCCTCTGCCTTGCCTTCCTACATAAAGCACTTATTGTGCGCCGAAAGTGCCCTCAAGACCTTAGATCTGAAACAAATAAGATAAAGGGGTGCAGGGGAGGGCGGAGGAAGAGGAGGAGAGGGGAGGGGCGAGAAAGCTGCTGGCAAAGATTTTGTCATCATGTGCCCAAGGCCGCCATCAACAGCAAATCAAGACACTGAATGGAGGAAAAAGGTGGAGGGGCAGCAACGAGGAAGGGGAACAAGCCCCATCGTGGAATTGTGGACGGAAGGATTCCAACAGACAGAAAAACCCCTGAACAAGAAGGTGTGGGAAACGGGGCACGCTGGGATCACAAAGCCCGCAATTCAGGGGCCCAGGCTGGGCTCTGCACGTCTTGGCGAGGGCGACCGTGGTCTCCAACACGCAGGGAGCACTCTTCCGCCCTCTCAGGTTATCGCAGCCTTTTCCCTTTTCTTCTCCTTTGCTTTTCCCCCCCAGCTCAGCCATCAGAGCCTGTCTGGGTGGGAACCAAACGCGGACCATCCCACTGGAGGCGTCACGCTCTCCAAACAGATGTCCCGGGTGGAAACCACTCTCCCACCTCTGAGGCGACTGCGTGTGTTTGAAACTATCTGACGACAACTAGGAAAGATACAGGCGCCCACAGCCCAGGAGGCGCTGACTTCAAAGTCCTCGCCCACACCGCGCAGTTTTGGAGCCGACAGGATGCCCCCCTCCCCGCTCCCACCCTCCCCACGCTAAATGCTGGTGGGTTAGAATTCTCTTCTCTTTCCTGCAACATTCCGTCTACTTGCGCAGATCTAAAACGCACACCTGCAAGGAAACAAAGAGCCCCGGTTACTACCTTCAGACCACACACAGAACCCAGGTTGGTAAATTACATGGCCCATGAACCAAATCAGGCCCACCCTCTATGTTTTATAAAGTTTTATTGGCACACAGTCCTGAGCATTCAGAGAAGCTGTAACAACAGGCTACACCTGAGGGCTGAGCCTCTGACCAGCCCTGAAATAACGCAGAGGCAGCTGTCATGGGCAGGTGGCACAGCCCAGAGACCTAGAGGCAGGGCCGATGACAACTTTTGCCTGTGCTCATGGCTTTTGGGAACATGTGGGGAATACAGGACACTCGGCCAGCCCGCCTACCACCCCTGCCTCACAGAATCACAGGCCCTGGGGCCCAGGACATCTGTGGAATGCAGGTTACCCATCAGCAGAGGGTGCAGGCTGGGGGAGCAAGGTTCTGAGCCCCTACCCTGGGTATCAGCTGCCTGGGGTTTCCCCTTTCAGCCCCGAACCCACAACCCCCCAGCAAAAGGTGGTGTTCTTACTGAGCCATCGGACATGCTGGCGCCCACTTTGTCCCCTCGGGCGTTCCAGCAGACCTCGAAGATGCTGCCAGTGCCTCCGTAGCTGTGGACGAGCCTCCCATTCTGCAAAGCAAAGCAGTGGTCAGGAGTAAGGGGGAGGAACGGGGGGAGGGGGGGGGGGTTTGAGCAAGGCCAGTATCTATACTAATAAAAAGGTAATATGCTAATTAGACTGAGAGACCTTCCTGACATCCTTCCAGACAAAGCCATGGTGGCGGGGCTGACGCAGAGGCGGTTAGGGGTGATCAGGCCAGGAGGGCAGGGCAGTTGAGGGTGAGCAAGCCAATGGGGGGGAGGGGGGATTGGGGGATGAGCAGACCAGTAGGGGGGCAGAGTTGGGGGCAAGCAGGCTGGTGGAGGGGTAGTTGGGGACAAGCAGGCTGGCAGTGGGGGGGGGGCAGTTGGGGGCAATCAGGCTAGTGGGAAGAGTGATTAGGGGCAATCAGACAGGCAAGCAGGTGAGCAGTTAGGAGCCAGCAGTCCTGGATTGCAAGAGGAATCCCAGATTGGAGGGTGCAGGCCAGGCCGAGGGATAATCCCACCCCCCCCCCCCAGTGCATGAATTTCGTGCACTGGGACACTAGTTTATATTTATAATTTATATATATAAAAGCCTAGCGACCGGCCCACAAGCCCACCAGCCAGTTGCTATGATGTGTACTGACCACCAAGAGGCAGACACTCAACACAGGAACTACCAAGTGAGTGCCCTCTCCCATTCCAGGATTCCTTAGGGGATGTCGGACGGCTGGTTTCAGTCCAATCCCTGCAGGCCAGGCTGAGAGACCCCACCCGTGCACGATCCATGCACCGGTCCTCTAGTATTATACACATACTTGTATTTAGAGAGGGCTTCCTCTCACTGAGGACCAAAGAGGTTTGTGATTTAGAAAAACGGAGTGACATAATTTGCTGAGTTATTGACCGTGGGCAATACCTAACGTCATTTTTCTATGATGTCACTTTACAAATCCACCTGTCCCTAAGGTACATCCCCTTTTCTGAAGAGGAACTCTCACATAGTATTCCTGGGCTGTGGCTTTCCACCTGGCCTGTCTGGCTGTGAGGCTTGGTGGAGGCTGGTTCTGCCTAGGGCCCCCCCTCACCTCTCCCTCTCTGGCCCATCTGAAGCAGATTCTGGGAAGGCTTAGGTCTCTATGAACCGGATGGCAATTCACTTGCTTCATGTACTACCAGCCCTTCCCCCAAGGAGGCATGAACTCAATTACAATGCACCTCAATTTCAACCCAGCCGCAGGGAAGCCGGAAGGAAGATTGGATTAAAAGGTTAAAAGGGAACAGGGGAGGCCATTTAATCCACCCTGAGGCCACACAAACTGGATCCCTAGCTGTTTGCAATGTCTCCGACCATTTCTCTTCTATCAGCAAGAGAGAACCGAGAGGTGGCTGCCCAACATAATTCTCCCTACCCTATCTCCCACCCACTTCCACTTTTTATATTCAGAATCCATCACCCTCAGGTACAGCCAGGGTTACCCACAGCTACACTTACTCAAAAGCTGTCTCCTTATAGTTCTGCCAACAGCACAACCCTATACCAACATACCCTTTCCTACAGAAACAGAAACTTTTTTCTTTTTTAATATATTTTATTGATTTTTTTACAGAGAGAAAGAGAGAGGGATAGAGAGTTAGAAACATCGATGAGAGAGAATCATCAATCAGCTGCCTCTTGCACACCCTCCACTGGGGATGTGCCCACAACTAAGGTACATCCCCTTGACCGGAATCGAACACGGGACCTTTTCAGTCCGCAGGCTGACGCTCGATCCACTGAGCCAAACCGGTTTTGGCAACAGAAACTTTTTTCATCAGAAAAATCAAAATGGCACAACAAAGCAAACAGATAATCCTGGGCTCCCTCCGATATGCTACGTGCTGTGGAATGGCCGGCCCCGCCCCTTCAGCTGGGACCCAGGAAAGTGCGAATGAAATGACACTGTCACCCCGACCTTAGTACCTAGAGGGCAGCATCTCTGGAGACAAGAGGACTGGGTTACGGCTGTCTGAAATGAGGCCAGAACCCCAGGAAAGGATCAGCCAGATAGAGGGTTTCATGCCAGGGACTTAGAAGCGATCAGCACAAACTCCCCAGCGACGGCTTTGAGCCTGGGTCACTGAAACCTGACGTGGGAGTCACTGTGAGAAAGGAGTCGGGGTTACCTGAGTGTTCCAGATGTGCACACACTTGTCAAAGGAGCCGCTGGCCAGGTACTTGCCGTCGGGGCTGAACGCGACGCTGTTGATGGGTTCCTGGTGTCTGGTGAGCGTGTGGAAGCACACTCCACGCTCCACGTCCCACAGCCGGACGGTGGAATCGAACGAAGCACTAGGAGGAAGGGAGGGAACGTCACCATAGACACAGGAGCTTCCTTCTGTTTCTCTAAGACACACATCCATCACGTGTGACTCTCCTCTCATGGCTTTTACATTTCCAGAGACAGTAACAGCTACGCTCCATCACGCTAAAGTATGGCTCAGATACCTCGACGTTATACCATTGTTATACAACAGTTCCTTTCTTCTCTTTTTGGATGCTGTTATGGGGGAAACACTGATTTCACGTTCATTTGTTTCTGCATTTCCTATAGACACAGATGATAAATATGTCTATGGAATATTTACTACATTTCCTTAAATGTAGTAAATCTAAAACACCACATGTAGCTCAGCTGGTGTGGCTCAGTGGTTGAACATCGATTCCTGGTCAGGGCACATGCCTGGGTTATGGGCTCGATGCCCAGTGATTGGCATACAAAAGGCAGCCAATCAATGGTTCCCTCTCATCAATGATGTTTCTATGCCTCCCTCTACCTTCCTCTCTGAAGTCAATTTTAAAAAATGAAAAAACAAAAACACAACACATTTATTGTTACCAACCAAAATATTTGGGAAAATGGCAAATTAAGTGAACACAGTTTTAATGCAATGGGAGTTAAAATACAATCACATTGCCAAAACCGGTTTGACTCAGGGGATAGAGCGT